TTGGTTCTGTTTCTCTGGAGAGCCCCGACTAATACACTGAGGGACCTCTCCTGCTCTTGACAGAAATGCCCCATCATCATCCTTTATGCTAATTAGGACCCTCACCTTGCCCTTTCTTTTAAAATGCAGTGTCTGGGATGTCCAACAGTGTTTTTAGAGGGTTTATGTGAATGAGTTTGTGAGACCAAGATGGCTAGAAAATATTAGAATGCTGGCTGTGTGTGGTTGGTGGCTGCATATGAAAAAAAGGAAGGAACAGTTTGAAAGAATTGAGAATATGAAAAAGAAATGCTGCAGTTCATAATTTTGACCACGTGTAGGCCTTGAACTATTGATTTAACTGGTGAATAATGTGTAAAGTGTCAAGATTTCTCATGAAGGAAAAACTGGAGATGATTATTTTTTTGTTCTCAGAAAAGTAAAAAATGTGACTGATTGAAGCAGATTAATTTCAGTTATTTTCAATCCACTCTTAATATGACACCTCTTTGCTACAGTAGTGTGAGATATCCATTTAATAAATTGGAGGATTAGCAGCTTGATTTTAGTATATTATTCCTAGTTAACAAATTGGGTTGGGAGATCCTGAACATATTAACACTTGAACTTTATCCTAACGAATTTTCAGATAGTCACCAAATGCTAAGAATTTACAAATGAATAAAGAATTCTCAGCTTTTTGTCTTGGAAAATTTTATTTTAATGAATAGACACAGCTCAGACTGTCTATTATTAGCATACAAACACCGCCAGGCTCTTTTTTGAAAATGCTATCATTTACAGAAGTTTAATGTTTTAATATTAAAATTCTACATTAACTCTTCATCACTATTAATAAATCACTAGATTTATTAATACTAGGCAAGGCACTGAAGAAATGCAGCAAATGAAAGTTGCAAGATTTTTCTTTTTTTTGTCCTTTTGGAAAACTTATGAAAAATATATTAAAAATAAAATGTTGTACATCTGTGTGGCACTTTTTAGTAACTCAGTGTTTGTGTTATGTTACATCACTTAATCCTTATGACAACACCGTATGTTTCGGAGGGAGAGAGTTTATACCCTTTTACAGATGAGGAAATGTGGATTCAAGAACTTGAGTGGCCTGATCTAGGGCACATGAAGGAGCAGCAAGTGAAAATTCAGGGTTTGCATCAAGGTTTTTATAGGTCTTTGTTCAGCATCCTCTCCATAATATTATAGTGATGCTTTTCCACATTTAACCATAAACCCTCTTAGGTCTTTTACAAAATATTCATCGCTGCTGGAGATGTATGTTGGTGCTTATCTTTCGACCATAGATCTGGTGACGTGATAAATAATAAACCAGATGCATAACGCTGGGAAAAGTAGAAGGCAGCAGGAAAAGAGGAAGGCCAGATATGAGAGGGGTTGACTCCATAAAGGAAGCCTTAGGCATGAATCTGCAGGAGCTGAGTAGAGCTGTTGAGGACAGGACATTTGAACATCACTCATTGGTAGGGTCGCCAGGAGTCGGAGCAGGCCTGACAGCACACAACAGCACTTGTTCTCTTCTCCCTCTGTCTGTGCTCAGGGCAGAAATGAATCACTGTGAGTTTGTAGTAATGCTGATTTTACCAGAGATGCTTTTATAGAGCTGTGAGTCTGTGAGGAAAGTGAAATGGTAAAACAATGTTACAGGCTGATAAAGTTTTATTTCATGTACAAGGCTGCCAGAAAAATGGCACCGTGTTTTCTGGTACTCCCCTTTCTTAGGAATGAGCAACTTGAGTGCATTCAGTTTTTGGGAAAGTGATGGCTGTTTTTCCCTTTGAAAACAGCCCAGTCCATCTATTCTAGCACCTGAAGTGGGGGCTGGGGTTAAATTCTTTTGCTAGCGGCCTGCCCAGACAGAAGGAAAACAAACGCTGGGCTGGGGGCTGTAGGGAATCTGCCTCTCCTGCATCTGGCCAAGCCTCATGCTGGGCAAAGCCAAGTTTAGCTTCCAGTCATACCAGGCACTGAAATAAGATCAGCCAAAGGAGCAAGGTTCTCTGAAGGCGTGAAAATCGCTACTCTGCTTGACATGCAGTCTGGGTCTTTGACAGTCTGCTCTGGTGATAATTGGTTCTAGCTAATGAAGTTAGAGTTGTTAGCAGCATGCCTGCACTTCCGTGACTTGGCCCTGTGGCAGGATGGGACTATGAAGAGTGAGGGTGTAAGGATGCGGCAGTGTGCTGGGCTGTGTGACAGAGGGAGGCCTCAGAACCGCAGGAGGCAGGAGCTCTCTCTTTATTATTTTCTGCTATGACTCATGTAGAGGAGGAAAGACTTTCTCCTCCTGGATTTGACAGCTGGGTTTATGAAATAATCTGACAACAGGCAGATTAACAGGAGAAAAGGTATACAAATTTATTAATTTTTTTTTTTTTTGTGAAGGAGATTGGCCCTGAGCTAACGTCTGTGCCGATCTTCTTCTGTTTTGTATGGGGATGCCACCACAGCGTGGCTTGACGAGCAGTTTGGAGGTCTGCACCCAGGATCCTAACCCACAAACGTTCGGCTGCTGAAGCAGAGCATGTGAACTTAACCACTATGCCACTCGGCTGGCCCCAGAAATTTATTAATTTTTAATGTTATATGCATGGGGAAAGCATAGAAACAAAAAGTGATTACCTGAAAAGCATTGAGATTTGAGAGCTTATACACTGTCTAATGGGGGGAGGGGGTGTGTGGTTAATTTAGGAGAGAGTAAATGGTTTTTAGGGAAGATGAATGTCCTGTCCTCCCGGGGAGGGGATTGATGACAACTGAGTTCCTCTTGGGGATCTGTCTTTAGGCAGAGAAGGGAGTTCAGAGAAAGCCTTGCCTGGGACTGGCTGCTTTTCAGGTGCCTTCAGCTCAAAGAATCGATATACCAAAGTGACCTCATATTTTGGGGTGGCATGTCCTGCTCTCCGTCACTAACAGGAGAGATTAGCGCACTTTGCACTCAGTCTGGCCTCCTCGAAGCCTCATCTCTGGATTTGGCAGCTAAGGCCCCAGGCACTGAGCTGGAGGGGAAGAGTGGAGATGAAGGCGGGAGGTGAACAGCACTGAGGGCTGGCAGAGGTCTGCAGGGGTCCGCCTAGCTGGGTCTATTACGTCTCCTCTGCAGCTCCAGGCTTTTCCCGTTGCCTCCTGATTCCCTTCCCTCAGTAGCTGGGGTACTGTTGTTGAGTACAGACTGCCAACTGCCCCACGTTCTCCATTCTGCCCCCAGCTCTGAAAGGGTGGCCAGGGGAGATCAGTGGAGTTTCTGCTGCCATCATAAAATGCAGAAGGATCTGTGTGGAAGTGACCAACGGGATGAACTCCCAAGAGGAGGGGAGGTGGGCTGGGTTCAGTGCAAGACAGAATCTTGAGCTGGAAGATGGGGCAGGTTGGGATGGGTCGATGGCAGATTTTACGTGCATAGATTTTATTTTGTGGCGGAGTGAGAGGTACAGTTGGCAAATTGATTCTTACGGTATTTTAGGAACTGATATGATACCGGCACATAGGACCGATTATCAAAGTCAGGTGTTGTGAGCTACTAGAACATGTTTTAGAGGAAGCTGTTACATTCCTAGCTCCTGATATTGTTTTTAGTAGAGGTCCTATCTTGCTTGCAAAGAATCTTATTTTTCTGATTATAAAAAGGAATATATGCTTTTTATAGAGTACTTAAAAATACAGATAAGTATAATAAAGAAAACAAAATCACCCATGAGTCCACAAAAAAGAGGTGACCACTGTTAATATTTTGGAAGTATTGTCTTCCGTTATTTTGAAACACGTATTCATATCTAATATAATATTCAAGATATACCACATATAGAGATTGCTTTTTATTAAACGTCATTGAGATATAACTTATACACCATAATATCCACCCACTGTAAATGTAATCAGTTGTTTTTAGCAAATGTATAAACTTGTGCATCCATCACCACAGTCCAGTTTGGGAACCTTTCCATCCCTCCAAGTGTGACCTCCTGCTTATTTGCAGTTAATTCTTGTTCCTGTCCCCATCATTCCTAGGCAATCACTGATGTGCTTTCAGTCTCTATAAATTTGCCTTTTCTGGATATTTTGGATAAATGGAATCATACAGTGTGTAGGCTTTTGTATCTGGCTTCATTCACTTAGCACACATTTTTGAGGATCCTCCATTTTGTAGCATGTATCAATAGTTCATTTTTATTGCAGATTAGCATTGTGTTGTATGGATATGCCACATTTTGTTTATCTGTTCACGTGTTTTGGGTTATTATGAATATTGTTGTTATGGACATTCATGTACATATATTTGTGTGGACATATGTTTTCATTTCTATTGGGTAAAATCCTAGGAGTTTAATTGTTGGGTTGTACAGTAAATTTTTGTTTAAGTTTTTAAGAAATTGCCAGACTGTTTTCCAAAGTGGCTGCACCATTTCACATTCCCATGGGCAATGTATGAGGGTTCAACTTTCTCCATATCCTTGTCAACACTTATTATTGTCTATCTTTTTCATAATAGACATTCTAGTGTGTAGTGGTTCTCATTGGGGTTTTAATTGGCATTTCCCTGATGATTAATGGTGTGGAGAAGCTTTTCATGTGCTCATTAACCATTTCTCTATCTTTGTTAGTGAAATGTCTGTTTGAATCTTTGGCCCATTAAAAAAATTGAATTGTCTTCTTACCATTGAATTATGAATTCTTTGTCTATTCTGGATGCAATTCCTCTATAGGTATATGACTTACAAGTGTTTTTTTCCCAGTTCATGACTTGGCTTTCATTTTCTTAGTGCTGTCTTTTCAGGTGCAAAAGTTTTAAATTTCAATGAAGTACAATTTATTAAGTTTTTCTTTTATGGATCATGCTTCTGGTATCGTATTTGAGAACTTTTTGCCCAACTCAGGGTCACTACAATTTTCTCTTAGGTTTTCTTTTAGAAGTTTTATAGTTTTAGCTCTTAGTGTGAGATATATAATCCATTAATTTTGTGTATGGTGTGTGATGAGGGTTTCAGTTCTTTTTTTTGCATGTGGCTATTCAATTGTTGAAGTGTCATGGCACCCTTGTCAAAAATCAATTGACCATTAATGTAGAGATTTATTTTGGGACTTTCAGTTTTGTTCCATCGATCTATGTTCCTATCCTTATGCTAGTACCACCTGTCTTGTTTATTGTGACTTTATAGTCATGGTGATACTGGGTAGTGTAAGTCCTCCAACTTTGTTCTTCTTTACAAAATTGTTTTGGCTGTTTTTTGTCCTTTGCATTATTAAAACATACATTTTAGGATCAGCTTGTGAATTTCTACAACAAAGCCCGCTTTGATTTTGATAGACATTTCATTGAATTTACCTATTTATTTTATCAGAGCATTTCCCCATGTTTTTATAATTCTGATACTTTTATCTGGGATAGTTTTGGGGGCATTTATGGTGGGAAGAAGGGAGTTGGGCTAGATCACCTTTTGATTTCCTTTTTTGTCTTAGCATTTGCTCAGTATTTCCCCCCCTCCTCCCACATAGTTGCAAAAGAGATGATAGGTCTTTATAATTGAGAAGCTCGTGGCTATCAATTTGTCAGTTGTTAGGATCTTACTGAGTTCTCCCTGCAGGGTCCTAGGGTAACCTGGAGGAGAGTGAGAGGCTGGCGATCACATTGATGGGTCAGTCAATACGGGAGCGATTACTCTTTGTGCCACCAAGAATGTAGGTCCAAAGATGATTCAAGATGACACAGACACGTGCACGTTAGTTGGCGGGCTGGGCAGGCAGCAATTGCTTTCAGCAAGGCATCTGCCAGACTTGTGGGGAAAGAGCATTCCTGCCATTTCCTGACACCACGCTCCGTGGGAGGCAGCGCCCAGCCCAGCTCCGATGCGATGCAGCATACACACACGGAGCGCAGGAACTGACTCTCTGGCTTCTTCTGGATCAAATGGTACATGGTGGGGTTTACAACCCTCACTGCTGATGTTATAAGGTTAGAGGCAATGACCTTGGGAGAGTTTACACTCAATTTAATTTTTACTGTTTCATAAAATGGGAATTGTTTTCTGCCAGTCAATAAAAGCAGCGGGCCTCCTGCTGTGTAATGGATGTGGATAGGCTATTACTGTTTGTTATAGCCGTTTAACTGCAGGACAGTCTTATTAGTGGGGATTTCAGAACGACAGGACTTTTGCCAGCCTCAGGGCTAATTCTTTATCCGTGTCAGCATTAATGCTGTTACATATAACGGGTTATGGCCACTTCAGAGGCAGAGGAAAGTTCAAAGTCTCAGAAGTTTAAAATCCACCAGAAAGGAAAGGAGCTGAGAGAACCAGGGGTCTGAGCAATCAGGAGGTTCAGTGGAGACATGTCTGAGATGTAAGCCAAGCAATCAGATGTTCCAGGACATAATGGTCAGCCAACCTAGCAGGTAAAAGAAGCATTATTGAAGGAATTAGCTAAATCACAGAGGAGAAGCACAACGCTTAAGGCAAAAATCATCGTTGGTTTAGGGATGGAAAAATGATCAATCGTTTTCCCTGCATGTTATGAAAAACAATACAAAACGTCCTAAATATGCCCAGTTGCCAATTACCTATCTAAATTGAGCAGAAGTCCTATTGAAGCTTATTTGAAAGAGCGGGTTATAAAAGGGAACATGACTTGGCTTTGGAAGGCCTTAAAACTGTCCTCATTATACCAGTGTAGTGTAATCTGAAAGTAGTTTTGCAGTCTTGCTCATGGGCAAAGATGTTGGCCTCAGAAGGGACGGGGAGAAGGTCGGAGTCCCAGGCCGTGCTGAATATAGGAAACAGAAAACCCACAGGAGAATCGCTTCCTCAAAGCTGATGTGTGGCATTGAAGAATACTGTGGGTAAAGAAGTCTGGTCATGGGAATGGGCCAGAGTTATGTATGTGTGTGTGTGTGCACGCGAAAGAGAGAGAGAGATCTCCAATTATTCTTTGTGCCTCTATTTAAATTAGGTAGTGATGGTTATTATATTGGATCCTTTTATTTTGACAATGCTTTACAGTTTAAAAGACATGCTAACATATAACATCTGTAGCGAGTTTAGGTGGGCCACTTACTGATGGGACTGACTGGAAGATCTGGCAATAGCTTACCCCGTGTGAATCCCATGCCTTTCCCACCCGCACCAGCTCCCCTCCCACACTCCCAGTCCCTCTTACCTTGTTCTACTTTTTGCTTCTTCCGTAGCACTCATCACCCTCTAGTATACTATTAGTTTACTTATTGATTAGGTTTGTTGCCTGTCTCTCCCCCACTGGAATGTAGAGGGCAAGAGTCTTGCTTTGTTTTATTCACTGATGAATAAAACACTGATGATTCAGGGATTCACCTAGAACAGCGCCTATCCTGTGGCACCCAATGCATAATTGATGGAATGAATAAAGACCCAATAGGGAAGAAAAGGAGGATTCTTAGCTAAATAGGGAAGTCAAGAGTTAGAACTTCTTGCCACTGAGGCAAGGTCGTGGCACAGAAGGGAAGTGGGAGTTGTTCCAGCAGGCCGAGGATTTCTGCTAAAACTGGTATTTCCTGCAATGATCCCGAGAGAAGCATCTCCCTGAACAGTGGGTCTTTAATAGTTCACCTGCAGCAACACAGACTGGAATAAGTCCTACAGAACTCCGTAATTTGATGAGCAGTCCTGAGGTTTTTCTTTTTTTTAAGAGCTTGCAGGCTTTGAGGGACTGAAGAGGGGTCCACGAAGAAGCAATCCACCCATCATTTTAAAATATGTTGCTAAAATTCAGTCACAGTGTTAATTTTAAACATAGCGTTTGTCCTTATTTTCAAACCACTGCATTTTAATGAAGTTCAGTTTGCCAGGTCTGTACTTAAAATACATAGGCTTTAACTAATTTAAGGAAAGGTCCACAAAGTGGCAAATGCATAGGAGGCCTACATTCCAAAAGAGGATGTTCCTGGAAAGCTCTAACAATACAAGGGGGTTTGTTAATAATAGGTCCGTTTTATGGGGAAACTAAGCACCAGAGAGGGCTGATAAGTTGCTCACAGTCACACTTACTAATTGGTTATGCTAAGACATTGAACAAGTTTGAGTCACCGGATCAGGAGCAGCCAGTATTCAAATCCCACCGAACGTGCAAATGAAAAGGGTCTTGAAGAGCAACTGACGTGATTTCCTCATTTTACAAATTAAGACACAGGCTCAGTGTATTAGTCCGGATTCTCCAGAGAAACAGAACCAATAGAACATATATTTATAATCATAATTTATTATGTATTTATATAATATAGTATAACCTTTATAGTAGTGTATATATTTATTATAAGGAATTGTCAAGCTGGAGAGCAAAGAGAGGGGATGTATAGTTTCAGTCTGAGTCTGAAGGTGTGAGAACCAGGAGGGCTGGTGCAGGAAGTGCCGGGCTGAGCCTGAGTCCTGAGGCCGGAGATGGCTGATATCCCAGCTCGCAGAGCGAATACTCCCTTACTCAGCCTTTTGGTTCTATTCAGGGCCTTAGTGGGTTGGATCGCACCCACCCACATTAGGGAGGGCCGTCTGCTTGACTGAGTCTACAGATTCAGATGCTCATCCAGAAGGACCCTCCCAGATACACCCAGAATAATATTTAACCAACTATCTGGGCACCGCATGGCACAGTCGAGTTGACGCATCAAATCATCATCACACTCGGAAGGTGATTTGTGCACTGTCCCAAGTGAGCCAGGTCAGAGCTGTGAGGACCCTGCCACCAAGTTCCCAGCTCTTGTGCTTCCCTTCTCCACGCACCCTCACACCTTTGGATCCGTGCATGGAAAATGCACATTTCCCACATCTCGATTATTAACTTATAATTCTTGTGTATCTAATTAGTTCCAGTTTATGCATATTTAAATAATTTCTAACAAATTTCTGCGATGTCTTGTGTATAGTTTTCCTCAAATGCTTAGAAAGATGCTATTTAATCTACATATTTAGAAGAATACTTTACAAATTAAATTTTTCCCAATAAAAGTAAATGGTTCATTACTGAAATTAAGATTTCTTATCAGTGCACTGTCAGTCTGTGAATATGATGTGGAAGATGGTACAGGTATTATTGAGGGGGTTTAGTTTGAGATAACTTAGAAAGAAACAATGAAATGTTTCTTTGATTGCGACTAGGCAAAACAGGGCATTTTCTGTTGCTTTATTCTTGCTTCCTAAATGAGAAAAATTTGCTGGGTCTTTACACTAGTATGACTTGATTAAATCATCTCCATAAAGATATTAAAAATCCACTGAGTGTTCTAGAAATCAGAAGAATCAGAGTACATCAAAGTAAATTGGAAGAACTGGTGCAGTGGGTGCCCCTAGACAGATTGTGTGAGGGGGAGAAGGCGGGCAGGCCACGGCTGCTTCCGCCCACTGGAACAAATGGGGTTTATTTATCGTTCACTGAGGACTGCTCTATGCCAGTGACTGTCGTGAAGGCATTAGAGATTTGGAAATGTTGAGTGACTTGCAGGAGTCACGCGAGGACCCAGAGGCCGAGCAGCATCTCAGCCAGGTTTATCTGGTTACAGCTGATTCCGGCCACCACCATTTCGGCTGTGCAAGTGAAAGCTGATAAACATCACTGCGATGCTTGTTAAACATTCAGATTCTTGGCCCTGCTCCCTTGACTTTCTGGTTCGGGAGGATTGGAAAGGAGTCCAGGAACTGGTGTTCTTAACAAGCATCCCAGATGTTGCTAAGGCAGGTAGGTGGTGAACTTCCCTATGAGAAACTGCCCTGCGCTCTGCGTAGTGCCCTGCATCTTGAGTCTCAGCTCCCCAAGCCTCTGGGAGCTGTGTCTACTAATGCGCTTCACTGCTTTCTTGATTTTCCGTAGTCCTGAGCTGCATAAAGCAATAAATACATCAGTGTCTTCCACCCTGGCTTTTGGGAAGGCTAGGAAATTTTAGGATCACATGCAGACTGGGGATTTGAAGACCCACCATGATGCGTTGCTTCCTTCCTTTGATCCTTGGACCTCCTTTCTGCCTCTTGGGCCTGTGCCTCTCTCGGTGGTTGCAGGATCCCGCGGTCCTTCTGTGTTGTAGCTCAGCCTCCACACTTAGTGCTTCTGGCTTCTCTGTTCCCCCAAGCTCTGCCAGATTGCGCTGTGAGTATCCAAACCCTATTAGAGAAGACGGGGCCGTTATTCATCCTACAGAGCTGTAACTTTGTACTCTGACCAGTATCTCCCCATTTCTCCTACCTCCCTGCTCCTGGTAACCAGTGCTCTGCTTTCTGTGTCTATGAATTAGACTTTTTTAGGTTCTTCATCTAAGCAAGATTATGCAGTATTTTTCTTGGTGTGTCTGACTTAGGTCACTTAGCATAATGTCCTCTGAGTTTATCTGTGTTGTCACAAATGTACAGCATGGGGACTATAGTTAATAACACTGTGTTGTATACTGGCAGCTTGCTAAGAGAGTAGTCTCAAATGCTTTGAGTGTGCGCGCACACAAATTGGTAACTATGGGAGGAGTTGGATGTTAATTAGCTTGACTGTGGTAATCATTGCACTATGTGTACGAATTTCAAAACATCATGTTATACACATATGCAATTTTTATCAAAAAATACAATAAAATAAAAAAGAAAGGGAAGTTTATTCTCTTTGTGCTTCTTCTCTGAGCATCAGGGTGTGTGCCTAGCAGGGGTCTGGTGTCCTGGGCCGAATCTCACAGATGAGAGCTGAGTGCTGAGTGTTGACCATAAAGACTCTCAACTCTTCCCCGTCTCTCCCATCTGATGACTTTTAACTGTAGGTGAAAATCTTTGTCTCCTCATCTTTCTCACGATTTCTGGAGTTGTGACAGAGACTGTGGTGGTGCCCGGACTGCTCAGCCAGCTCTCAACTGTATTTAATTCTTGCGTTTTTATGCTGCCTGGCCTTTTATCCAATCCTTGTCATTTTCTTTCCCTCCCTGCCACCTTCCTGCCTGAGTTAAAATCTTTTACAAATTTAATTTTCTGGCCCTTAACTTCAGATAATTCTCCTGTATAATTGTAAATAATTACTCTTGCTTATTCTCAATTGGTAGATTTGGCTACTTTTAAAAAGTGATTTTTCTGTTGCCCATGTATATTAATCTGCCAGAATCTTGCTCTTCCAAGGTATCAAGTGGTTATTTCTTTTATCAAGCTAGTTGTCCATATTTTATCCCTGGAAAGCCTTAGGTTACAAACCCAAGTCCTAACTTCTAGCTCAAAATCCCAAATTGCAAAGAAATTCTCCTTATTGATTTTGTATTTTTCAATTTCAAAATGTTTCTTATAATAATTTTAGAGGTGAAGAATATTAAAAAAATAGATAAAAGACCGTTCTTTCTTATCTCGTTCCACACCCCAGGTCGGATCATCTTTAGAAGTTTGATGTTTATCCTTTGAAACATCGTCTATGCTTTTTGAAATACGCCAGTGTGTAGATATTCGCAAACCTGAAATCCCAGTGGTTTTTCTAATGTAATGTCTTTTACTTCATTTTGATTGAAATGGTCATCCTTAACTTTTATATATCTAATGCTTCTGGCAGAATAAACTCTTAATAAAAGTACTAGTTATTATGGTCTTTATAATTTTCACGTGAAGAAAATATATTGCAGTATATGTAAAATTGCTGAAATAAAAGGTTTAAAAAAGAAGGTTAACTAGTTAAGGAAGGTTCTTCTTAACTAGTGGCTCCTGATCTTGGCTGCACAGTGGAGTCACCTGGGAGCTTTGAAAACCATGGGTGCCTGTGTCTCACCTTCAGAGATTCTGACTTAATTGCTCTGGCATGTGGCCAGGGCATCAGGTTTTAAATGCTCCCCAGGTAATTCTGTTGTATAGCCAAGATCGAGAACCACTGTTCTAAACAAAGATTAAGGATCATCAGTGTTAAAATGCAAAATATAATTAGGAGCAACCCCTTGGAGAATGACTCCCTTTCTTAATTAAAGACTTTTGCTATTCATGTGACTCCCATTAGTATGAGGTTTTCTTAGAACACAAGCAAGCAACCAACCAGAAGGAAACACCTACTTCTCAGGTAGATAGTCTTTCCAAAGGTATCACGTCGGTTGGTGCTGTAGTGGGCATTCACCTGACGCCACATTGGGCTGTGTCAGGAGGCTGTGTGGCTCCACCTCTTTTCCAGAAACAACCTAAAGGTGAGGGAGGGTGCTGAGCCTGGGTGGAGGGGAGCAAGAAGAGGGCAAGGAGCGACTCATCTGTTAAGGTCAAATGTCAAATGTGGAGGTTAGGCAGGAGTAGATAAGGAAAAGGAAAGAAGAATAAGGATTGGTTTGGGAGAAGGTTGCTGGGGTGGCTGTTATGTCTCCCAAGCGTATCAGCCACAAATGATGCCAATTCCTGATTCTGAGTCAAGATCTTGCAGAAGTCTCTACTCCAGTGAGCCAGGCTAGGATCTGGCCCCACTACCCTCCACTCCCAAATTAGGAGTGGCCTGAGCTAATTGCTGGGCAGGTAGGCTCCAGGTTGACAGGGACCCTCAGGCATGACTCCCATCAGGCTCCAACAACAGGAGGGGGTACGCGAAGAAGACACCTCAGGTCCCTCAGCTGTGGAACCCTCTGAGAGCTCAGGCAGTCACAGTCCAGTTTTCCTCGGGTGCAGTGCAAATGTGACTCATTTTATGTTCAGCCAAACTTTTGAGGACACTGAGCTATGCCTTCAGTGGGTGAGAGGTAGAGATTTTGCAAATGATCAAGCATCTAGTTGTACATTTGCAACTGTTTATCGGGGTTTGGACAGGAAGAAGGTGAGTGTGCTCCTTCCCAATATGGTGTGCACGACGGGCCACTGCTGACAGACGTGTGCTCCTGGACGGCCTCCCTGAAAGCTCTCCACCTGAGCAGAAGCGTTTCGTCATTGCTCATTCCCTCGCAGTTCTGAAAAGAATGACTTTTTGTTCTTTGAAAGAATCATAATAAAGTAAAATGATGGAGATTCAAAGCTAGGATTTTGTACGTATATGCTAGTGTGCGTACTGTGTGCATGGGTAGTTTATTTAAAATCTGTTTCAAGATTGAGACATTTCCTGCAGTTTTCCTTAAGAATTTTTATTGAAATTTGTCTAAATGATAGAGAATGAATAAATTGTTTTCTTTTTCTCTCCAACGGATTCTTATGGAGGTGCCGGTGTGTGCATGCCTGATGGAGAATTCCCGAGTCCTAGAAGGTTTGCTAAGCTTTGATCTTTGGGAAATCGTAGAATACCACCCTCCATAGAATAGGTTCTCTGAGGGAGTTTGCTGTTGATGGTAATTATAATTATAATATCATAAAAGTTGGTGAAAGTGAAGAGCTGGTCAGTTTGACAAGAGGTCCTGTGGATGAAAAGGAATCTACTTCCTTTAGTTAAGTCCCAATTGTAAGATACAGATGGCGTTGGCATGACTCCAGGTATAATTACGAGACTTGATTCAGTTACAGACCTAAGCGAAGGAGAGGGTCAAGCTCACCTGCGGTCCAGAGTCGAAGGAGCAAATTCCCAGACACTCAGATTCAATTATGTAGGGGAGGCCTCCGGTTCTGTTATTGCACTTTTGAGACTCCCTACCTACAGCAGATGCCTGCTGGCAGTTCCAGTTGATAAACCAAGTAGGAGTTTCCTGCTGTGGAGGGAGCAAAGGCTTCTGCTGAGACCCAGCATTGGCAGCAGCCACTGGCAGTCGGGACTCCTAAGCTACTGCACAATGCCGGAGGTTATCTGGCAGTAACTTACGATGATCAGGGCTAGGAGCCACTGTGAAATCATTCTCTCCTTTTTTGGACAGATTCAGAAGACTCCAGGGACCGGGGTAAGTGTGATGTTAGGATGGTCAGAGTCCTTGGGAAAACCTCTTTGGCATGTAAAACATCGGCAGATAGGAGAGGGGATAGCTGTTTAAATGCTGCTCACACTGCACTGACATGGATTTGAAAATAAAAGGAGGATTATAGCTCTCAGGATTAATATAGGATTAATCCAGTTCTTTCTTCAATACCAAAGACACAAATGTCCTGAAGGAGAAATTGATGCTCTCTTAAAAAAATACAGCTAATAATTCTATAGAATTATAGTTCTCATAAGGAGATCATCTTTTGTGAGCAAGATGATTTAGAAGAAATTCATTCCCTGATCAGCTTATGTTCATGATTAGTGTAAATGTTGTTTTTTATTGCCATTAATGGCAACAAAGCAGCACTAATTTAATGAGCGCTGAATTCTGGTTGATGAACAGTCTCAGAGTTTGAGAAGTAAGTTTCATGTTTACAACTTAGAGGTACCAATGAAATACCAGCTTGGATGTGTTCCTGGTTATTAACCTTTGGAGAAAGAGAGCTCATCAACATTTTATTAAACCTATTTTCTTTAATGTGGCTTTCTTATTTGCTAATCATCATTCAGCTTATGCATTTCACTGCAGGCAGAAGTTTCAGAGCATTTTGCGTCTATTTTTTTTCTCCATGTTAACATGCAATCATCACTGATATTTAAGATGTTAATATCTATATAGAGAAAAAAGAATGCTGTTGTCCAAAATCTCTACTATTTTTGGAATGAGCCTCCGGATGAAAAAGAGGATGGTATCAATTTAGGGGCTATTTTTGACAAAGATTCTGACTACAGACGTTCTGGACCCTGAATCTTGAACTGTGTGGTTGGTAATTATGGTTGCAGTTGAGAGAGGCAATGCATATGTGGGGGTGAACTGAAGAAGGCATTTCCGAGTGGAGTTATATGGGACCACTGGCAATATAAATTGATGTTTAAGATTTCAAACTTTGGAATCAGACAGACTTGGGTTCAAATTCTGATGTTGCTGTGTACTAGCTGTAAGACCCTAGGCAAATTACTAAGCCTCACAAAGCCTCAGTTTCCTCATCCCTACAATGGGGACAATGAAAGTGCCACCTTCATAGGATTGCTGTGAGGCTTAAATGGTGATGCTCCTGGTACATAGTCCATTCTCAATAAATGTATGCAACTGTTTTGGCTATTGTTGGGGGTCAAAATGATGGGTCAAAGGAAGTAGTCAGCACATAGAAGGAGATCATCTCTTTTTGATCAAGACTGACTCTTATAGCCTTTGATACCTCCAAGACATCTTTAAAGAGGATTCAGGAGGAACTTGCTCCAGAGGAACACTGTGTGGGGCTAAGGAGAAAATGAGTTTTATTGGTCCATGGATGGCAGGGTATAATTTATGGACTGAGTCATATTTAGTTGCTGGTAAAGGCTACAGTATATCATAAAATAATGTTTTATGTCTGTATAATGCTCGACAATTTTTTTTATCTCTTGCGTTTTTGGCACTGACTCTCCCTTGTGTTTCAGATATTTTCATTTGGCTGTTGTCTAGGTAGATTAAAGGATTGTGCTGAAAGTTGGTGGTGGGAGTAGAGTGAACATTCATGGCAAAGAGGACAGTATGAGCTAAAATGAGACAGGATCTACCAAAGGTCACAGCCAGTGAGTGGTGGAATAAGAGCGGAGGTACTCAGTATGTCTCTTACCTTATGAATGAGTGAGTGAATAAATGAATTGTAATTGCATTCACAATGCCTTCTTTCACCTCTTACTAGCTCCTTATTTTCACTTTTCTCAATATCCAGAATAATTTTTTGCAGCGCCTAAGTAATTTGTAGTCACAACCAATCAAACCAATTCACTGATTTGATTAATATTTATTGAGATCCTGCTAGGTACATTGTATTGTGATAAATGTTTATGTGTTGCAAAGATAAATAAGATGATAGATAATGTTATCTAATCCATATTACAAGACATATACATATGACAGTGGTGGCATCAACCCGTCAAAACTTTGACTCATTTTAAAACAAGTCACCATCATTTTTTTGTAAAGCAATTGAACATTTTTAGGATAGCTACAAATTAAAGATTTTGTTTTAAAAATTATTATTATTATTTTTTTGCTAATGTTGGAGACCCCAAAGCTACAGAGGGATCATAGAAAGGTGAATTCCTTAAAGAGAAAAGGGTACAATTTATTCATTTGATTGTCAAGATGCTTATAAAACCAGCTGTAAAAATAGACACATTTTTGTCCAGGGAACAAGGCGATCAAAGTATTGACAAGATTCCATCGTTGAACATTCAGACCAGCATTGGAGGTTGTGTAGTACCAGTGCCAACACTTGAACATTGAGGACTTCTCTGTGTATGTGCTCGTAGATACATGCTTTACGTCTGAGGAAGACCCTTGACATTAAGTGCCAAGTATAGAACAGCTCTTGGCATGTGTGTTCCATAAATGGTAATGAAGGGAGGGTGCTGGATAACTTTTGTTCCTTTCTTTTTCCTTAAAACACATCGTGCAGAGTTTTCGTTTGTTTAGTTCACAATTGCTTTGGGAGCTGTGATGGAGCCGGGAACAGCATCAGTAGGACTAGTATTTTTAAGGCAGCAGAAAAGTGTTGAGTGAACAAGAGTTTTGATATAAAATAAAGAAACTAAACCCACAGGGCAATGTTTATTCAAAAAGAAAAGTTAGTGATCAACAACAGGACTCATGATTTTGACCTATTCTTGAAGGAAATAGTGAAAAGTGTGAATAAGATGAAATAATGGTCATTGAGTGCTTTTCTTTACATTATTTTGAGTGAAGAAACAGGCTATGAGACTGCATTATTTTTTACACCAAAATACATTGTCTGCTTTTGGGAAAGTTATTATATAAATTTTCATTGAGATAAAAACTTTTCTTCATGTTATTGATAAAGCCAGTAAAGATGATTCTATGATTATCAGGTAGTTTAAGGATATATTAGTTTCTGGACTAGCCTGAGTCTGTCACCTTTGACTGCATGATCACAGTTTTTACTGTTGAGATTATAATACTAGAATTTATTACAGAGACACAACTCTGGTTCACAAATAGCTCGGCCACTGAGAACTTAACTCTTTCCCAATCCTTGATGATTTTCTCTACTACTCAGAGAAAGATATCATGAAGTCTTATTGTGAATATTTATCAACCATATCTTGATGCTGCTACAGAGCATGAAGAAATATTTTCCAGAGCCAAATCAAAGAGAGGATTAGGAATCTGTTTTCTGTGACTTCCTGAATTTCGGTAATTCAAACTTCCAGCTTTTGAGTATGACAGGTCTTCGTTTTAGTATCTCTCCAGTCCTGTAAGTGATTTGTAGTAAGAATTTCTTCACAATTTCTGAATCCATGATCGTGCTAACTTTCTAGAAGTAGCTGATGGTCATCAGACTATTGCTGTCTTTCTAGAAGACTATGAATATTCTATTTATTAGACGTAGACTGACCCACTGTTCTGTGAATCAGGCAGTCTACTGAGCTGCAGGCTATCATCCTTTTCAATGACAGGAAAGAGAAATTATTTCACATTTAATGTTGATTTATTTAAAAAAATTGTTATAACTCTTCTTAAAAATTTCACGAAAGTTGGTGGTCCTTGTATGCACCAAAAACCCATTACTAGTATGTAAATGCCAAAAGTGTGAGAAGCATTATTTACAGCTTCTGTTACATGGTTTCCAAAGCGTGAAAATAGTAAAACTGCTATTTATCTTTATAGTTCATCTTAAACTTTAGAAATTTATGTTTTGTATCTGTTTTATAATGTGCATAATATTGGATACAGTGATAAATATGTATATTTATGTGTATATACATAGAAAACAGGTCTATACTGAAAGTTTTTTTTATGATTAGGGACCCACAGTCCAAAAGTTTGGAGATAGTTGATAAACTCATTAGAAATCATTCATGTATATTCCTATATTGTCAGCAGTGTTTGCTTCTTTTAAGTTGTTTTAAAATAATGCCTAAATCACATAAACTTTGCAGCCCATCAGACTTTATGTTTTGCCTGGATAGAGATGCCCTTAGGAAAAACTCACATGCTGATGGTCAAGGCACCCGTCAACATGAGGCTGCTTCTCAGCATCCCGCCTGGGCCTGGGCCGTGCGGGGCTGTCTCAGCCTCCGTGCTGCCTTTCCTCCAGCTGTACTGGAGCCACACGGGCCTCATTCCCCAGCAGAACTAGGGCATTTGTTAAGCACAGTGTACAGCCCCGGAGCAGCTGAGGATGGCTGCCCCAGAGCAGTTTTCTGTGCTACATTCAAAGACCCCCTCAGCACCACTGGACCCCCTGAGTCCTCAGGCCAGCACTTTGGCTATGAATGCTCTACTTCCC